GATCGCTTCGAGCTCCGTCACGTATCTTTCCAGGTGGTCGTAGATGCTCGTTGCGATTGTTGCCTTCACCCCCTTGCACGTTGCTTTGAGGATCCTCTAGGGCCTGGTTATCTTCCCAACAAAATATACACTATTCGAAAGCTATGAACCAGGGCTTTCGAATGAACCCACTTTTAGCTTTCACAGACACCTTGGTAGGCCTGTCCTCCATCGGCCGTTTTTTTTTCGATTTAGATACACAAACTTTATTTCTATACTAATTTCAAGTAATTCCACCTTCTTATTCTCCGTCATACGAGCAAAACGGCCGATGGAGGACAGGCCTACACCTTGGTGACGAGTTATGCCGAATATACCGTTTCACCAAAAACGCGGCGGAACCGGTAAATCACGATTTGTTGTGCCCCCACCACCGCTGTGAAAATATATATATATATATATTTGGAATCCTTGAAACAAACTGGTTCTAAATCACCTGGTTCAGAACTCTTTTTTGCCAGGCCCTAGATAGACAGAAATGAACCAAGTTTCAAATTAAAAAAAAATCGCGGCCGAACCACCGCTTGGGCCGCGTCGCACACAGCCGCCGGTAGGTGTACACATGTTGTTGTGAAGACCGGCAACCAAATGGAACTCGACCAAGAGAGGGTCTCCTGCCTGCAGCAGTTGGTTCCCGACGGATACACGCTGTTTGTCCAACTTTCAGCTGGCGCACACGGTGCAAGTGGCCATGACATTGATCCAGTTGTACACCCAGCAGGCCGACGGCTTCGACCGGAAGGATGCACTGGCCATCGCAGCAGAGGTTGGACGGAGAACCGTTCAAACAGTACAGCAGTGGGAGCGGGATTTCATCGCCCACGGACGCATAAAAAAACCTAACACAGGTCGCTTCAAGCGCAGGTTTTTGCTGGAGCTCGACGAAGGCGTCTTCAAGCTCGCGAAAGGCTGGGTGCTCGAGAACTGCGGGATACTCAGTGGGCAAGCCAATAAAACGGCGGAGGATTTCCGCAAGTGGGTGAACAGCACCATCATGCCGATGCTGGAGGAGCAGGAAAAGGACGGCATCAACGCTTTCCATGGATTGAGAGTAAAGCTGGTGGAAGTGAAGGAGAACGAGCCGCCAAAGCGCCAAATCTCCCTTTCTACGGCAACGGAGTGGCTGAAGAAGATGGGATGCGAATACCACGACGGCAAAAAGGGGCTGTACTTCGATGGCCACGACGACAAGAAGACCCTTGAATACCGGCACGACGAGTTCCTCCCGGCGCTGTTCGACACCCGCGACTACATGGAGGTATGGATTCCGATGGGCAAGGATGAAGCGATCGTCTGGGGTGTTGACGTCGAGACGGTGGAGGAGACCGAGCGCTTGCCGGATGGTGGTGTCTGGGTTTGTGTCGATGATCTCGAGTCTGCGCTGGCAGACTTGCCCGAAGACCTGCAAGCCAGAGTGCAGAGCAAGAAAACCTACCCTGACGGGAGGCGGGCCATGCTTCTCTACCAGGACGAGAGCATATTTCGAGGTTAGTTTTAAACGGAGCAAAGCGGGTTCGATAATTTAGGTGTAAATTCCGGGCGCGAACAGTAATCTTGCTCGCAATTCAATTGTGGGACTTTAAATTTAATCACACATGTTGACAGCGCCACATCTGCCGCCCCTAAATTGTCGGTTTCTTGTTTGTATTTGCAGCCAACGACGACCAGAGGCGCGCGTGGTATCGGGACGGCCAGCATGTGCCCGTGAAGAAGTCACAAGGCCAGGGGATCATGGTGTCGGGGACGATAATCCACAACGTTGGCTTCTTCTCGGCGTCGCGGGCACAGATCCAGGACGCGGAGCGCAACCGCAGGAAACGATGCGCCGCCTCAGCTGCCGCGAAGCGACGGGGGGAAAACGTGAAGGTGGAGAAGTTCCGCCCCATCGACATGCTTCATGAAGACGAGCATGGACAGTACTGGTCCTACCACCTCTTCGAGTACGGCAAGAACAAGGAGGGATACTGGACCGGGCTCAGGATGCTGGACCACATGTCAGACGTGCTCGACATGTTCACAGTTCTCTACCCTGAGCACAAGCCTGTAGGCCTGTTCGACTGGTCGTCCTGTCATGACTGCATGGAGGTCGGCGCACCGTCGGTGAAGAGAATGAACTTGGGTGTCGGTGGTGTGAGGAACGGAGAAGAGCTTGCGCCGATGGACCCCGTGACCATCCTCGAAGATACCCCGAACCTCCCAGCCGGCACGGTACAGCACTTGGTGTTTCGGAGGGGGGACGATCCCCCCTTCCACTCCCCGCATCTCAAGCCGGCGCAATATGTCGGAAAGTTGAAAGGAATGCGGCAGATTTTGTGGGAGAGGGGGCTCCTGGTCAAAGGCATGAGTAAGACGGGGGGCTCGGGCGAAAAGCAGGACCTCAGCAAGAGCATGGAGCACGTTTTGGGAGAGCAGAAGGACTTCAAGGAAGTTGATTCTAGTCTGGTGCTGTTGATGCAGCGCCACGGGGGGGCCTGTCTCATGCTTCCTAAGTACCACTGCGAGTGTAACCCCATCGAGCTTGTTTGGGGCCGAGCGAAGGACTGGACTCGAAAGAACTGCAAATATTCGTTGGAATGCTTGCGCAAGAACGTGCCGCTGAGTTTTAGACCAGAGAAGGATAGACAGGCTGTTTCGGTAGTCCAGGGCTACTGCAAGAAGGCGTACACACACGCCCTCATGTACCGCGAGACGCGTGTGCAAGGGCCTGAGGGCAAGAAGACGTACAAGAAGTACAAGTCGCACAGGCGCCCGACCCCGAAGGAATGGATGCCGTAGAGTCGAATCGATGGCGCATTCTTGTTCATTGAGCTGTATTTGTTCAGTTTTTTTCCGTGTTTCTGGTGGGAATGTTGTACAAAAATGGAACATATTTGTTGAAAACGGCCAATTTTTGTGATGTATGTACGCTATAGGTGCGGTAGAGGCATTTGCATAGTGTTTGAGGGCATTCCTGTGCACGTGTGGGTGGTTTGGTGCGAAAAAAAAGAAGGATTAGCAACATATATGGGGGAAAAGTTGCTCTAGGGCCAATTTCGTGGGTTCGAGACACGCCGCGAGCATCTTTTTTTCTTTTTTTTTTCTCTTTTTTCCTTTTTTTTTGGCGAATCGCTACTCTTTTGGGCCTTGCCGCGGGCGTTCCGAAGCTGTTTTTCTTTTTCTTTTACTCGGTCTCAGTCAAAAGTTATGGAGGGACAACCAAAATCGGGTCCTTGAAAATTACTACTTTATCCCACCGACCGTTCGAGAAAAGAGCCCTCGGAAACCGATCAAAAAAANTTTCTCTTTTTTCCTTTTTTTTTGGCGAATCGCTACTCTTTTGGGCCTTGCCGCGGGCGTTCCGAAGCTGTTTTTCTTTTTCTTTTACTCGGTCTCAGTCAAAAGTTATGGAGGGACAACCAAAATCGGGTCCTTGAAAATTACCACTTTANACCGACCGTTCGAGAAAAGAGCCCTCGGAAACCGATCAAAAAAAGACAAAAAAATAAATAAAGGAGGACGCTTCCCACACCCGCCCAAAGAAAAAATCAAAGGGTAACGTACCAGCACCAGGCACTGCGCACCAGGGCATGGAAGTAACAGAGCAAACAGGACAAAGAGGCGGCAGATGGGCAGACAGCCAGACGCGCAAAAAAATGGCAACAGCAAAGCGAGATCAAGGTACCCAACACGGGAGAGTAGGCAGGGAGGTCATGAAAAAAAGAGACACAGCACAGAGGCCGAAGGCAATAAAGAGGACATACACAAAGGAGTATAGCATATACTAAACTGCTGTACATAAAGCAGTATTCTCATGATTTGAGTCCACTACTGTTTCGAAAAGCTGCCCAAAAAATTGATTGCAGTCAATCAACTTCTGTTTTGAAAAGCCGCGCAAATATTTGGTTCCCGTCAATTGCTGTCTTGAAAAGGGTAAATATTTGGTTCGGAGCACCTACTCCCGGAGGCAATTCTCTGTCAAGTAGATATAGTTCACGCAGCTATCAAAACAGCAGTTGACTCGAACCAAATATTTGCGCAGCTTGCAAAACGGTAGTTGACTGACTGCAATCAATTTTTTGGGCAGCTTTTCGAAAGAGTAGTTGACTCAACTCATGAGAATACTGCTTTATGTACGGCAGTGTAGTACATGAATTGTCCACCACGTGTCCAGTACTTCGAAGTACTTGAATTTGTACTGCAGATGACTGTATTAGACAACGCGAATAGCAATGCTCATGGCATCCTTGAACTCGTTGCGGTGACCATTCGCACGCATGCGTTCATCAGCCCGCCGTCGTGAGCGAACCTGTTGAGAATGCCCGGTGCTGCGAGGTTGCACGCCACATCCAAAGATTCGTTCCGAGATATCAAGGCTATTTTTTATGCATTCATGTTGTTCCTCCCGCCATCTTTCTGTCTTGAAACACGAACCACCTTGTACACGACCACTATTCCATCCATTCGGCATCGCCGACCACATTAATTATTGACACGCCCCCCGTCCCCCCTACACTATCACGAATTCGAGCCATACTGCGCATCGACCTCTCCAACCGACGGTTGTTCTGCTGGAAAGTGCGCCAATGCAGAACTACACCGCATGCGTCTTCACTGCAGGTACCGAGGGAGAGTTCTCTTCAAGCTCCCCTGCCCCAACCGCACGCTCCCCTGGCCAAAAAGAGAAAGCAAGATCAATCTCGCAGTCTTCCTCGGCGGTGGCTTCGACAGGCTCCCTTCGGCACAACACGGGAGAACTCGCGTGAAGCGCCTGTGGGCCACTCATTTCCGTTCGCATCGATCCTACTACACTTGCTGCAGTATGCGGACGGCTAGAGAAACCAGCGGACGACTGCCCTCCGCCCCCTTGCCCCCTTGCCGGCCGAACACTAAACAAGCCTATTCCCCATGAGCCTCTACAAGCACAGCAACACGTGGACTGTGGCTACTGCTGTCCATGAGAAACAGCACGGTGAATGTTTCAAGCATTCCGTAACCAACTGATACAAGTAAAGAAGAAGTAAGAAGGGAGAAACTACAATCAACAGCAGCAATGTGCGCCGGTGGTAAACATGAGCGAACGGATCGCCTGCTAGACCAGGTCTTCCAAGCCAGAGAGACGAAGGGTGCTTTAACGTAGCGTAAAGGAACAAGCCCCAGATGCCCCCCTTCTACAACTACGCCGTAGGCAACAACGGGGCGTGAAACCAGATGAAGAAAGTGTCCATACCAACGAGGTCGCTATTTTGTAGCGGCCGCGGTGCCACACAAGAGATGCCGCAGCTTGCGCGAACAGGAGAGTGGGAACAACGAGTTCGCTTTCCTTCGAACGCGTGGCAAGCCGAACGCGCCACTCTAACACCCAAGCCAATGCCAAAGGAGGACGAGAGAGCGAAGGAGAGAGGGCGAGAGTAGTACAATCCCACCCCCAGCCCCCTTTCTACTTGATGTACTAAAAAATTCATCACGATACCTCGCATCTCCTGCGCACCTCCCCCGCGCGCCGCTCGTCCCCAAGCCAATGAACGGTTTCATGAGGCAGGGCACGAGTAGGGCCGCCGGAGAGAATATAAGCCATCGCTTCGCAGAATCGAAGAGACCACAAAATCAAGCAGACGGGATGAAATGGAGTCCACCAGAAAAAAGCAACGGGCTCGTTCGTGACAACGACACAAATAACGAAAGACATCCAACCCTGCCTTGCAAGAGTCGTTACTGATCTCCTAACACGACGGGAATCGCCGCTTCATTTCACCTAACATACCCCCCCCCCCCCCCCCCCCCCCCCCCCCCCCCCCCCCCCCCCCCCCC